AGGTAAGCTCTATTCGGGCTAACGTTGCTCTCTTACAGGTTACAGTCGAGCCTGAAGGAATTTGCGAGATAGAATAACGAAGAATATGCAATTAACCCCCTTGCATTAATTAACAATACGCATACAAGGTGATTTTGGGAAAAATTCGAATGGATAGACTAGAAAAGTGAAAGAATTCTTTCAAGTAATTATTCTCTAAACATCATTATTTCGTTCTGATCCGAGAATATCCCCTTCAGTTCTATATACGAGGTGGAGTTTCCACACAACACTGATTAACATACCTAATAATGTCTCGGTTTCGACACGCGGCTCGTCCCCGCGATCAACGACACTCGGGGTTATTAATCGCCCTCGTTGATGGAAAGACGGGACGCGATGCACACTCGTTAGAGGAAAATTATCGAGTCCGACCGAGCCTGTTCCTACGAGATTAAGCTTTTACGGAGAACGGTAAATGGTAATTTGCGCGGAGGTTTTTGCAAGAAGGAAACGAAAGATGCAACAAGATGCCGTCGTCTGTAATGGTACTATCCTAATTTCGTAACGACTCGAGTCGAACGTGGCTGCACCTTTGATAAAGTGAAATATAATTAGTAGATCGTGGACGTTCGTGCACTCGTGACATATGAAAATATGCAAAGTATAATTAAAAGCTGGCGTTGATTTTCTTAGAATCGAATATCCGGTCGACAGAGTAAACTCTACTTTCCCGATTTCCCAATTAGCCCGTTTTTTTTTTTTTTCACAATCCGGTTCATTTCACGGAAATCAACGATATTCGAGGAATTCCTTTTTCCATTCAATCTCGAATGCCACGAGAAAGTCGACGGTGTTTCGCGCTGCCGTTCGATCGATTTTAAACGATTTATTCTTCTTCTGTCGGGAGACACGGTTTTCGTGATCGAGGAATCGAGTTCGTTTAGCCTCCCGGTATAAGCGGCAGGCGTCGATTTAAATACGACGATCAGCCGTAGGCGAGACACACGGTAGGGTAACTTTCTCTCACTCTTCAGGGTACCGAATAACGATTATTACGCGTGACTCGTCGAAACCGAAACGGTCACCGAACGGTTCTGACCGATCTTCCGAATCCCCGTAACGAGCACTTCGATGAGAAGCGTCAAGAATTTTTATTCGATTTTTATGGCGATCTAATGTGCCATCGAACCCTAAGACCGCGGCGCGATTGCTTCACGAAGAGAACGAAAGCGTGGTTAAATGAGAAACAGTGTTTCCCTCGGTTGGGATTTCGAATCGGGTCAGCCAGTCGGCGACGGGGTAACGATTTACGAGGACGCGAGCGAACTTGAGGAGGGAGAGAGGTCGAACGAACGGAGAACGGAAACGGCGACGGGGGATACCTGGACAGGTGGGTCTCCCGTGTAGACGTCGCCGTCGTCGTTCTGCCTCCGTTCCTCTCGGCTCAGCCAACAGGCTTTAATCGTGCCCGTTCTCGCTCTCCTGGTACGGCTACGTCGTATTTTATCGCTGTCCCTCGCGATTCCAGTTGAACGGACCAGAGAGAAAGAGAAGCCTGTGATCCGGAGGCCAAGAAGGAGAACGGGCTCAGGAGTGCCCGATTTAACCGTGCATTTATGGATGAGAAGGGAGAGGGTATCAATCGAGGATATTCCAAGAAAAAGATGCATTAGCGATCAAGTTCAACGTTTAACGAGATCCTCTCTTCGTTTTATATATTGTTGTTATTACTCGTGATTATTAACGGGCAATACATATGTTGCGCAAACGAGTTCAATAAAAGTAGTAGAGACAAATGATTGATTTCAAATTTAACGATTATTATGGCTGTTATCGTTTTATTGCGCTATAAATTGCATTGCAAATAAGTGCAGAGTAGGAGAAACTCGACAAATGACTGATTCAGAATCTAATTATTCTAATTTTAACATTATTGACACGAGAGAGATGAATTATTAAATGCTTTTTAATTTGTTATTTTTTTTAATATTAATGTGAAAAACAGAGATACTTAAGAATTCTTATATTACTTTAATAGGTAATGCAATATAATAAATAATAAATAAATTAAAAAAAAAAAGAAGTTAAAACTAAAGAAAGTATGTCAGGGTGTTTAAACTAGAAGCACTAAGAGAAAACATAAAAAATTGATGGACCAGTAGTTTTGTAGTCCCCTGGGAAAGTTTTCCGGCTAGATTTTTGGACGACCGAGTTACGGTCTCACGAGAGCGCTTCCTGTTTTGCATAAAGGCGTTTCGTGTTTGAACGCAGAACACCGTGAAACGTTTCGATTGGGTGAGAACTGTTTTCCCGTTCGGCTCAATGTAAAAACCTTAAAACGATAAAGTGTGACTCCGAGACTGGTTCGACATAGGATAGAGCAAAGGGGTGAGGAATGCGGAACCATTCTAGAAATTGAATATGTACGTATCCACATTTATCACCTATGTAACTAGAATCTCCGAGTAATCGTAAAAGATATCAACCCTTTGCAATTCAAATCTACTCTCCCCTATCGTTAGTGATCTAGCTCTTGCTGTTATAGAGATTTGTAATATAAGGTAAAGTAATTGGCAATCGACAGAGAAAGCACCCTAACGCAAAGCTAGTCGTTAGGTAAAAATAAAACATTCAAGAAGGGTGGAAAAGTACCCCTTGGAAAGAAGATGAAGGGGAAACATCGATGCAACAGGTTTCTATGTTCTTTGAATTTAATCGATTGCCTAGAAACTTAAAATACTGCGAAGGAAATAGTAGGGTGTGTAATTCTGCGTCATTGGAAAATCAATTGATCCTCTATGAAAGATTCTGCGTCGACGATGCTCTCCATTCTTCATGTTCGCGGAACAAGCGGAGAAAGTCGCGATAAAGCTGCCCTATGATCCTGCGAAGAAAAGAAGCTGAAAGCAAAAAAAACTCCCACTCGATCGAGCCTTTGATGTTACAAACCGTCACGGTCTAGGAAACGTGGGAATAATAGATGCCGGATTTACACGGTTCGCAGCGCACGAAGAGACTGTTCTTCAGGCTTGCATCGATGCCTCGTTCTCACCTTGTTAGATCGAATGGTAGAAAGAAAAGAAAAATCATTGAACGTCGAAGAAGACCATTAAATTACAATACAAAATGCCAGCTAGTGAAACGTCTAGGATCGTGACTATCGAGGCTGGTTGAGATAGAAAAATTAGGCTTAATATAGCCGAGCCACGCTACTCGATTGCCGAGGTTTCTTCTAACGATCGCAAAAAGCACCGTTCTCTCTTAATTTACGATCACCCAACACCATGGAAAATACACACGTTCGAAGAGCTTCTAGTGTTCTTTCATTCGAAGCCGGTGAAACGCTCCGAAGAAGATGACTGGGAGAAAATTAAATTACAAAATGTTACCGCTAATGTTACCAATTGGCATACTTCTTTCGATCGATTCCACTTTACTGATTTCTGCTTGTTTTTCTTCGTGACTCGACGAAAATTCAATCCTTCTATCGATTGACCCAATAAAAGAAAACGACAGAAGGGGTTAAAAATAAAAAAATGGCATCTTATCGACCTTCGATACCAACTGGTCGGGTCTCCAGTGTTGTCCATAAATCTGGATAGACGCGTAGATGAAAACTGGATACACGCACAACGGAAACGCATGAGTCAGTGATGCCTGCGGAGAAAACGACATCGTTGTACGAGTTTATCGTGGAAGCGAGGTCTCTCTACGTGTCGGGTGCGTTGACCCAGCTTACGGTAACCCAGGCGATTCGTGTTGCACCTGCCTCGCGCGGACTTACCGGGATAAAGGGTCGTGCGACCCGAATTACTTCCTTCTTTCCATCGCCATGTTTCTCTTCCACGCATCGGGCTTGCGGCGACCCCTGCCCCCCTCGATTAAATACATCTTCCCTGTGTAATTGATTCGTTGACTGTGACATTCCTATAGAATTCCGCATAAATACCAACGCGATCAAGCTGTTCCCCTTTCGTATTGAAAAGTGCCAACGCATTGATACGGTGCATTAGTGTCACACCATTGAACGCACCTATGTTTTCATCGATCGATTGATTTACGTCGATACGACATTTCAAGGATACGTGGTTAAGGAGAAAAATGTCTTGGAAAATTGACAGGATCATGAGAATAATTGAACACCAGGAGCAGAGTAACGTGCCATTTAATGGTCCTCGCATTGGTCGCATCCTAGCCCTAAGCTTCGTTCAATTACACAAAGCGATCGTTACGGTACCGCCCACGTTTTAACTACCTCAACTACTCGCGTTGATCGTATTAATCTGCAATTTGCATAGCTTGCTCCATTCAAACGTTCCCTGTTTCTTCCTCTCCGCGAACGTTGAACTTTCTTCTGATCGTTCGGATTACCACCCTGAATAAAAACTAAAAACGTCCCCTTTCTTCCATCGGAAGGGGGAACGAATCCTTTAGGTATCCGATGAAATTTGTGTTATCGGTCACGGTGTTAAGCACAGTTCTCCTATAAATTTCTCGCGATGACGAACGGTACAAGGAGGCACGAATCGATCGGTAGACAGACGATCTTTATGGTGGATCAGAAATAGAAGCACCAGCAGCAGGTTCTCGTTTCACGTTTACCCGTACGCGAGGACGGAACAACACGCGAGGTCTCCTCTTGACCTCACTTTCTAGAATCCTTTAAGTATATGGCGCCTTCGAGTGTACGGCTCGTTTATCCATTATCGATGAACGAACGGCGCTTCCCCGAAACACCACGTGTCTCTACTAACCGAGATATACCATGGGTCCTTCGTACAGATTGTTCGTGACAGATGGTTCCGACTGTCAAATGGCTACCAACCGAGCGTTACTCGTTAAAGTAGAACGTATGTACGTGTGTTTGATACGTCTCACGGAAGTCGCGAACCGTGAAGACGTCCCATTGTAATGTAAAATGATTTAAGCTTCGGTGTACTTTGACATCATGGTTTTCAAAAGAAATAAACTTATATCTATATCGTAAAAATCTTGAATCCATTTCTAATCATTCGCAGATCTGGCACAGATCCGAGCACTCGTGGAGTCGACAGGGATGCTGGGAGGCTCAACCTGTCCATCCTGCGAGATGCCGTTCGATAAGGGGAAGAAACGTCGATTGATCGACTCGTGCGGTCACGAGCGTTGCTATTCCTGCCTGTTCCGAAGCGAGGCATGCCCGCTTTGCCTGCACGCCGACTTCAACGACGACGATGGCCTGGAGGGACCCTTCAGGGAGGGGTTCACCGGCTCTTCAGGGCCTGTGTCCATCCTCGCGCCCACGGACGGTTGGATCGATGAGTCATCAACGGTGAACTCTCTCTGCGGCAGCCCCAGACCTCGTACGAAAGTCACCACGAGAGCGAATATTCCGTCACGAGTCATGCACGTAAGCGTCATCGTCATCCTCGAGTAACACTTTCAAACCTGGATATCTCGACGAGAGAACAAGTTGAAACGTCTGAATGGCATTGTTCGCGGACAATCCTTGTCCGTGCATTTTATTCGATCATTACTCGCTGGCATTTCGACGTGTTCATCAGGAACTTAACTCGTTTAATTGTCCGTCCTCTTTTTTTTTATACGACAGCGAGAGGCTGACGGAAATGTCTCCTCCTCGGGGATGGCCAAGGGTCTGAAGAATAAACCACCGGCACTACCGGAGTCCTCCGCGTCTCATGGACGGCAGAAGCTTCAAATGATGACCCAGAGTACGTAAACAATTGATAGATTCATCAATTTCACGTTAATATTAACAATTTTTTTATTGTGCAGGTTGTCCCACCCCTCCGAATCAGAGGAAAAGATTCTTCTTGAATCCAAAGGTCCTCAGGAGCTCGTTCGTACCCCAAAGATCATCCAGACGAGCATCCTCCCCGGAACCAGCCGCGAATGACAATCCATCAGCTTTGTCAGGTAAGCTCCAACTCTAATATGATTAACATCAATGTCTAACGAAAAGATAGAACGTACGGGGGAGTCGGTGAACAGCTTCGACTAATTATTAATCATGGATACACGCGTGTAGCTTGGATGGCCTCGTCTTGGGAGGGCAGGTCAAGATGGCCGGGTGTAGTCCTGGGGAAAATCAAATCGTTGTGGAGCAACAGTCAAGGGACGGCGAACGATGGGCTGAACCAGCTTATCGACTCGAGGAGCAAAGTCACAGGCAGGAAGACACTTCTAGAATCGAGTGTGCATTGTCGTGTTTAGAGTTCATTACGTGTACAGATTGTGCTTGACGAACGGGAGACACTTTCAATGGGATACACCTCGTTTTTACTGCTATCCGAGTAGACTTTTTATTCCAATCACTGGCACAAGGGCTTTCCTGTTTCTCGCACCTATCCTAGAGCACTTAGGTTTGCAGCATGTCATTTTCATTATCCACAGTTGCGTTTGGTGTGTTTGAAGCACGAGTTTCGTTTCAGCAAGGAGAGACCAGTTGAAATGGGACCTATTCTGGTTCCTTTGTTGTTGGTTTTATGCATCCTTTGTATAAATATTATTTAATCGTGACCCGTTTAACATCGGAATCTCTCTTGTAACCTTCAGATGACGAAGGCGGCTGCGTGAAGCCTCTGTCCTCGAAGACGAGAAAGTCGTCGCAGTCGGATCTCTACATGAGGCTAGGACTACTGTTAGGCTCGAATCATGCTCGAGCAAACAGCAGCGTGGACACGACAGATTTGCCCGGTGGTTCGAGTCGTTCCGGTGCAGGTCCGTGTCAATCGAGGGTCCCCGTTCAGGGACACGACAGCTCGGCAGCATCGTTCAGCAGCCTGACGAGCTTCGAGACGCAAACCTTGGCCTCCACCAACACCAGTCCAGTGTCCACGTTGACCGGTACGTCGAGCGAGGCGGAAGCAGCCGCTGCTTTACGGTGTCCCATCAAACCCAAGGCGAAAGTCAAGGGCAAAAGCAAATCCAGAGACTGCGACAGCGCTGGAAGTCTCGCCTCCATTTCCACCTCGGTATCAGCTTCTACTTCCATGTCGATGTCGATGTCCGTATCCGTTTCGGGCCTGTCGAACGGCAGCTCGAGCCCCCTAACCCCTAGAAGACATTCCGTGAACGCCTCGCAACCTGGTCAATCCGACGAGCTTGGCCAGTTTAAGAACAGACGGTCCTGCGCCAGGAGGTCGGCCAGGGCTGGAAACATGAAGGGAACTGTTGACGCAAAGTGTAAGATATTTCATTTCTCCCTACCATCAAGGCAATCGTATTTGTATGTCTGATCAATTATTTCAATTCTAGTACGCTTTGTGCAACACCACGCGACACAGTTGACCCTGAAGCCACTGTTCTTCGAAGTACCTTTATTGGAAACCGACCCTCTGTTCACTGGTCGCCAGTGGTTACTGCAAGAGGTAGAGTCGGTGATAAACGGCTCCAGCCCCGGAGTTTTAGTCTCTGGGTCACCTGGGACTGGAAAGACTGCGCTGGTTCTGCAACTGGTGGAACACAGCTGTTTCGGACGGAGGCGGGAACAGCCTCTTTCGTTGGAGATCAGCGAGGAAGCCGAGGAGAAAGAGAAAACGAACTGCACTTCAGTATTGCAAGCTAGCATCCGTTACACGAACGAAAAGGTGAAACTTCGAGTCTGCTTGTTGAAGTATTATTAAGGTTTTTCGTTTATGAAAATGTTGGTTTCTAGGTTCGAGAACTGGCGTCCCACGTTGTAGCCTATCATTTCTGCCAGGCAGACAACAATAGTACCTGTCTGGTACCAGACCTGATTCATTCGCTAGCAGCTCAACTTTGTCAAGCTCCTCAACTGATCTCTTACAGAGAATACTTACTCTCTGAACCTCACATTCAAGGCTCTTTGTCGCAAAGAGAGTGCACCGTTGACCCCGATCTCGCGCTTTCCAGGGGCATCATCGAGCCTCTGTGCACCCTGAAGAAGATGAGCAGACTTCCCGACACCAACATGGTACAATCCCTTTCAAATCCATCAGTCGAAATATTCGATGCGATTAAAATTTATTTAATGGAACCTTGAATATGATTCAGGTGATATTAATCGACGCCGTCTGCGAGGCTGAGTACCACCGACCAGACAGAGGCGACACGATAGCATCCTTTCTGACCAGGCACGCTCCGAATTTTCCTAGCTGGTTGAAGATCGTCTGTACAGTAAGGACACAGCTGCTGGAGTGTGCGAAACAGCTACCGTACACTAGGGTCTCGTTGGACAGGGCCCCGAACGACGGCACCGGAAACAACGTCACCAAAGACCTGTCCGACTATATAGGTTACAGGCTAGCTCAAAGTCCAGCCATTCAAACGAACGTCACTGCATCGGTGAACGGAAAGTCCGAGTCTTCGTGTAGCGCAAATCAAACGAGATTCGCCTCGCATCTACTCGCGCTAGCCAGAGGCAGCTTTCTCTTCGCGAAGCTGACGCTCGATCTTATCGAAAGTGGACACTTGGTGGCTAAATCAGCGAGCTACAAGGTGAGCATCGAGATCGTATCCGTCGGATGTACCTCGCTTTCACGACGGTTAAAAGAAACTTTGATATGTCTTTTATCCCGAACAATGTTCAGTCGATCTAACGTTTCGGTATACGCTCGATGCAATTCCAGGTGCTGCCGGTATCACTGGCACAGATTTTTCAATTGCACTTCAATCTGAGATTCCCCACCGCAACCTCATTCGACAAGGTTCAACCTCTGCTAGGCGTCTGTCTGGCAGCCCTCTATCCTCTGACTCTGCCAGAGATATTCTATTCCGTGAACTCCTTGAACACGGACCACTTCGTTTCATGGGAGGATTTTCTACAGAGATTCAAAGTAAGTATCAACGCGTACATTATCACGTAACGAACGACCTGTCTAATTGTTCGAATCATTGTTCCTCTATCGCTCGCTTTGTAAATGGACTACGTAAGTCTGAACCATTCGTACGTCACAATCGAACAATGTATTCCCTTTCGCAACGCTAGTCCGCCTATTCGATGTACAATGGCCGCGTTGTTTTCTATCAGATGCTCTCTGGATTCCTCGTGAAACGACTGGACAACACGTACATGTTCTTCCATCCGTCGTTCAGGGAGTGGTTGATGAGAAGGGATGAGGGAGAATCGACCAAGTTCCTCTGCGACTTGAGGCTAGGCCACGCAGCCATTGCGTACAGGCTGTCACGCCTTCAGGCACCGTTACACGGTGACAAAGCACTGGAACTGGGTCATCATATACTGAAGGCGCACGTTTACAGAGGCGTAGCTCCGTTTTGGCCTTCGAGGGATTTGCAGGTAATCACACCTGTTCTAATTTGCATAACGAAGTTCCCATGGAACACGTGATTTACAAAATGTTACTCTGCATCTCGAACAGGCAATCTGGTTAGCATCGTCGACGGAATGCGTCTCCTCCGCGCTCTGCACGCTTCGAAACATCTACAGTCCGAACGTGAAGGTGTCGAGGTTGCTTTTGCTGGCAGGAGCATCTCCGAATCACACTACCGAGTACCTAGGCAACGCTCCAGCCCTTTGCATGTACGCGCACGAGGGTTCTGTCGAGATGGTCTCGTTGCTGTTGGAGTTTGGCGCGGATGTCGAGTTGACCAACAGTCAGGGTTGCACGGCGTTGTCGTTGGCAGCTTCCCGTGGTCACTGCGACGTTGTCAGAAGGTAAGATAAGCGTAGGATGAATCGGTAAGATCGGTATCTTCGAGTGGAACGAGTTTGAAAACAAATGGAGATCTTCGAAACAGGTTGGCCGCAGCTGGAGCATCACTGGGTCATACAGACATGGCTGGACAGTGTCCTCTGGTCCACGCAGCTAGACACGGTAGATTGTCAGTGGTTGGTTACCTTCTGGCTTGCGATTGGGTGGTTCCAGCTAGCGAAAACGAAACTGAAGGCTCTCAGGACATAGGCCGAGAAGAGGCTGCCCAGCAGGCTGTCGTCGCCGCGGCGGCCCAGGGTCACGAGTCCGTCGTAGAGTACCTATTAGACATGGCAGAAGTGATCGTAGATCGTCCTGATACTTTGATAGGCGAAACTGCTCTGACAATTGCTGCTGCAAACGGTTCGACAGCCACAGTCTCGGCGTTGTTGGCACGGGGTGCTAGTCCAACTGCTGTAAACGCCAAAGGTCTGTCCGCGTTGATGCTAGCTGCCAGGGAGGGACACTGGGGCACTGCTGAAAGACTTCTCCAAGGTATGCTCCCAATAGTTCCTGATCCCATATTCAATCAACAGAAAATATTTATACAATGTTGCGGATTCAGGAACCCTCTCCACCAGTACCGACAGTCTCCTCGACGATGCGGTGTCCCTGTTAGACCAACGAGATCCTGTTGGACGTACTGCGTTAATGTTTGCCGCCTCCGAAGGCCATACAAACCTGATCGAACTCTTCCTCGATAAAGGATCTGTATTAGAGAGCAAAGACAAGGAAGGGTTAACTGCTCTGTGCTGGGCCTGTGTGAGAGGAAGACTAGCTGCCGCCCAGAACCTCATCGACCATGGCGCTGACGTTAACAGCAACGACAATACCGGCAGGACCCCACTGGACTTAGCTGCGTTCCAAGTAGGACTTTCGCTATATCAGTGTGTCGATTTCATTTCCATCAAATTTTCTAAATTAATCTTACGATAAATATTTCATCAGGGCAATCCAAAGCTCGTGCAATTGTTGCTGGAAAAGGGGGCAGCGGTCGAGCACGTCGACCTGCACGGAATGCGTCCTTTGGACCGAGCAATCGGCTGTCGAAACATACCAGTAGTTCAATGTTTCTTACGTCGCGGTGCGAAATTAGGTCCAGCCACTTGGGCGATGGCGGCTGGGAAGCCCGACGTGCTTTTAATTCTATTGAACAAACTTCTGGAGGACGGAAACGTGTTGTACCGGAAGAACAGGCTGAAAGAGGCGTCTCATAGGTACGCTTATGCTCTTAGAAAGTTCCCAGCATCTCCTGAGGAGGATTGTCAGGGACAGGAGCAGGGTCACATGATGCTGCAACTGCAGACGTTTGCGCAACTTCGGCTGAATTTCTTGCTCAATCTCAGTCGATGCAAGCGCAAGATGAACGTGAGTGAACATCTTCGACTAATTGCTCCTTTTCCTTTATTGTCTTCCAACGTTATTTTTATCTGCGCAGGAATGTGCGGAAGCAATCGAGCTCGCTGACGAGGCTCTTAAAGTTCGCCCGGTGTCCTACGAAGCGTTTTATGCGAGGGCAAAGGCGCGTGTAGACTCAGGCCTGCTGGAGGACGCTCTGTTCGACGTCCAGGAAGCGTTGCAGATCGCGCCGCCCCAGAACCGACAGGATCGACGCGTTTTAGTCACTTTGAGAGAGGAAATTGTCTCTCGACTGGACGGGGTAGGCACCAGCAAGGGATCTAGCGACATTGTTTGCCGATCTCGGCTTCGAGCATCGGTAGATACTCTTACAGAATTATAACCTCGCGGAAAATTCGAATTACTTAAGACGACCCCTATTTTACGAGGGAAAGAAAACGACATAAGATACTTGAACTGATCATTTCTCGAAAGTTCAAAGCTCGCTTTTGAAATCTCGAAGCTTATTTAACGACTCGTTGCGTACGTTCTATGTACCCGAAGAAATATTCCTTCTCCTTGCATTTCCTGCTCGCTGAACCGAGTAGCAAGGGCTTTAATACTGTTTTTCTTCTGTGCAATTATATTGCATGATCGTGTTAGGATGTTTTTTTTTTTTTTGTACGTTTCATTCGATTTCGTATCGAATACAGAGTATATATATATATATTATAAATATTTGTATTATATTATGCGTATGAAAATTGGTTTCTAGTGTCATTGTAATTTAAATGAAAGTTATTTAATTGTTTCTCCTCCGTTTCTCTCAGTATTTCTTTCTCGTTTATTCAAGTGAAGAGAAGACTATCGCGATATTCCAGTGTGTAACTTGAAACACCACGAGTCTTGTCGACATACCTAATTATTAATGCACTCGCTTGCCAAGCATATTTAGTACACCTATTTCCCTGTAATCTGTTCGATGATCGCGATTAGCGATTTATAATTCGAATTCTCGTTAAACAGGCCTCACTTCGAATTCGCACGAGCTACGAATGTTATTTGTCTCTGCCTTGGTGCACGTAGGTCGAAAAATAAACGAACTTTTTACCAAACCCATAAGCAGTCTTCCTCACCTCTTCAGTGTACAACAAGAAACTACAAGAAGCGTTCGTTCAACTCGTCTTTATTGTTCGAAATAATTGGGCCATCATCGTTCGGGAGAACATCGATCCCTTCAAATAGTGTACATCGATTAGAGAAAACTTTTTAAGTGCGTTATTAATGCGTTGAAGACATTACTGCGAAAGCTATTTTCAAAAAGCTTATGTTAATTCATTCGAGATCCTTAAGTCTTTTATTTTATAATTACAGATTATGTCTTGAGTTATTGCACCTTGTAATTATTGCATTTTTTTTACCAATTGAAGGTTTGGTAATTCTATGTCACAATTTATCAATCTTAATTGAATAACGCACGGGGTGCGTCTATCTCGAATGAAAATTTAACAAAAAAATCAAACAAACCTTTTTCAATATAAAAAAAAAAACTTCTATCGCTCTCGCAAAGGTGTCTTCGAAAAGAGTGAATAATAATTACGCGTTAGACTTCGCTTGAATGTCTCGAATAGTTAGTACCGAGTTACGGATTTTGGTTTTAAGCTCACCGCCATCGCGCAGGCGGCCACGTTTTTTAAGTAAGTACACTTTAATCTATTACGTATTCAATGCAAATATCGTAAGAATAAATCGCGCACGATTTCCGGTATACCATTTTAATTGTACATGTTATCTGCTTCACGATCGAAAGTAGCTTCTGCGTCAAGCACGCTCGAGAGTATCTTCGAAACGTATTGGAAGAGTATGCGATAGTCTGCTCTGCAACTTCGATTTCGTCATTCGGCTCGTTTCTATGTGGATCACGTTGTGTACGAAAGGAAACGATTATTTCATTCTGACCAGCCTTTTTTACGTCACGCGAACTTTGTATCTGCAACGGTCTTCGAAAGTGTTTTAAACGAACCTTGAAACAGTAAAAAAGATCGTGTACAAAGTCCACGAATCGCGTCCTGAGACCATCTCCCGAGTATATTTCCATGTGGTCGAATCATCGATGAAAACGTAATCTGTCGATGTTTCTTTCGTACCTTCGTCTCGTTGGTTCGCGAAAAGATACGCGTGAATCTCACATCGTTCCCTATTCGATTGTCAGCTGTAGTTTCGTTCGAAACGAGCTGCGATGGAAGAACGACCGCGAAGACGGGGCAAGAACGCGACAACGCGATGCGTTTCGTGTGAAGTGCGTGGACGGGACAACAGAGTATCGAAGACATCACAGAAGAACGCGATCAGGGACTAGTGAGCCTTATTATAGGTGTCTTTGTTCTGGTAACCCTGCACGTAACCGGACTGATCGGGCAGATCCTTTCGACCAGCGATACCTTTGCCCTTTCCGGTTTGGTCGAATCGTTGCTTGTGGGAACCGGTGTACTTGCTCACGTCTGTCAATCTGTCCACCGTGGACGCAGCTTTTCCAGCCTGAAAATTAAAATCTCTTGATAATTTGTCTAATCTAGTTATAGACATGGAAAGTCGGACGTGATTTGATGACATAAAAGTAACGCTAAATATGACTTATGATACATCAATTTACAGTTTAAAATTTCATCAAAACGACTGCATAACGTTTCATCGATATCCTCTACACGAGGTATAGTACCTCATACTTTTTCTTCATGTACAGAGCAACACACTTTTAACATTTCTCTGTCCCTGGGTAAATTAATTTTATCTTTCAGAAACTTTTATTTCAACGTTTAAAATACCACTGGTGTAATTAACGTGGGCGTTATGAATCGTCAATTAAAGAATTGTCACTGTAAATCATGTCTACAGCACTGTAAATCTTCATCACTGATATCGATGACAAACAAGGTCGTCAAATTAAACAGATTACATACATTTGCTTTAGAACGTGGGTAAAACTTATGGACATCGATTACCGTTTACATGGCCATGTCCTGTATTCGTTGTTTCTTTACCATTTAAGAACGAACAATGGAACTACTTACACTGTAAACGGTATGGAAAGTTATATTTGTCAAGAATATTTAAGCTACTTACAGCACCAGCGCCACTAGTTACTCCAGGAGTACCGCAGTTCGCCATTTTCTTCTTCATTTCCGCCAAGTCGACCTTCTTATTCTTCGCCAACTCTTCCAAAAACGCTTTGTACTGTTCTATACCCAGTTTCATGGATCTATCGAATCAATTGAACTTAAGATCTACCTTTTATTGATTATTTCAATAAGTAATAATAATCAAGTACTTGTGTTTCTTAAAATAGATCCCTGTATCTGTGGTGGTGATCTTCTTTCCATCGATCACCTTCGCCTGTTTCATCCATTTGTCGCTTTGACTAAGGGTGATCAATTTTCCGTCGCTTTTCGGGTCACCGAATTTCGAGAACGCCTTGAAATTCGCCAAAAAACTGCCAGACTGAGTGGCGCCAGGACTGCTGGGCGTCGAGCTGCCGGTATCATCGTCGATCTTCAAATTCGCCGCTTTCGTCGTTACGGTTTCATCGCTGGATCCGTTTTTCTCCACCTTCGTCTCGTTCTTTTCCGTCTCCACCTCGTTCATTTCTACCTTAGCATCGTTTGTCTCGTTCTCCGTGTCCGTCTTCTCCGCTTGCATCCTTATACCTGAAGTTTTCAGAATTAATAATAAAGGAAATTTCAGAAGAATTTTCCGCGATTTCTTCGAGACATCAGGGTCAGGTGTAAGTGGAAAAGAAAAGAAAAAGAATGAATTGCTTGCATGATGTTTCACGCGTCGGTGACGTATTGGGGTCAAGTAACGTGAGCTATCGATTTAACATAACTCCCGTAGGCGCTCCCATGCAATTGACACTTACGTTTTAATCAGAGATTAATGAGAGATCGAAAATGGTATTAACGTTACGTAAACATCTTGATTTAAGGTGAATACAATTTTCAGTGTTGATTTTTTAAGGGGATCTCGGGTATAGAGTTTCGGAAGGATCTTCAGGAAATCTTATCGCGAACATTGTTTTTCAATTAAGTTAACAAAGTTCGGTAAACTGGTTCTCAAATGAAATTCCGAAAAAGGTTTAGCTAATGGCCATTGATTGACTGGTTATCGAGAGTTGTGTACTTCATCCATATTGGTTTTTGGCTATTGTTACTAATGGAAGCTTCGAAGGTACAATGGAGCAGCTTTCTGTCCCCTATCGGATGAAAGTAGTCTCTCTTCAATTATTCAGTTCTATCTTTCTCGAGACCAACAGTCTTATCGAAACTGCGGTTTCTGCACTTTGTAAAATAGTATCTTTCAATATGCAATTTATTCGACCGCTATATCCAACTTTTTTCTACCGAAAAGTAGAACAAAGTCGATCGAAGTTCTTGAAATCGAGAACACCGAGGTATTAAACGCAATTCTCAGCAGTTCCTCATTACTTCCTCAATTTTTCAATCGCCCTCATACATAGCTTCAACGATTCGTAATTTAGCGAACAATATAGGAGATACGATTTAACCGTGATCGTTTTATTTTCTATTCGTCCAAGGACTAAAATTGTAAATTGTGAATACGGTATCTATACATTTTTCAATTTTTAAATGTAATAAAAATTAATTTCATCCGGAATAATGTTATGTACACCCAGGATCGGTTCCTCAGAAATATTTAAATTCTAATTAAATATTGATTCGAAACGATTTCACTCGCAGGTGAATTGTACAGAAAGATAAGAGACGACATAATACTACCGAGATAGACGTTGTTATTTCACGACTATAAATAGAGATTACGACGACAGGCGCGTTAACGCAATTAGCGAGAAACAGGAAGCGAGGAGTCGATTAAGTAATAGTCATCAGGTGTCGAAGAGTAACACGTGCCGAATTCTAGTCAAATTTCTGCGACATTTATCCCTACCTTTTCTTACGACCTTAATCCTGAACGGATCAACAGGCATTCTATATTTATAACTCAGTAATTCGTCTGTTATTCAACTTCGCATAATGTGTTCGAAAAATTTCTAAATATCGATGTTGATTACACGTAACAGCACAGATACTCCATTATTTTATATAGAATTTAAACTCACCTTATGAGAGGTTTTCGAGAAAATAATTTTAGAAATTCGATGTTAATTATACGTAATTGGTTTCGAATGACCAGATACAGACAATCACTCTACGAATGGATGCTAAATCCAGTAATTTTTGTTATCTTCGACAATTCCACTGATTTTTCGCGAGAATAAAAAACGAGCGAGCAGGTGACGGGAGAGAAGAGAGAACACTGGTTTGTGTACAAGTTGAAAAGCTGTTGAATCTGTGCCGCAGGGCGCATGTGTTATATCGATCTCCTCGTTCAGGGTGCACGCAGTCACCCTCTCAATATATCTTTGAAACTGCGTTGCACCCTTGCCTGGAGCCGAAACGAGACCCCGTAGGGTTTTGTTCCAACAAAACGACTCGATTCTACACGGACGAAACGATTAAAATGCTAAGTGTATCGGCTGCTGAAGGCTATACCTGACGACCGATAAAATTGCAAACTTTAAGACTACGGAGCTTCGTTAAGCGAATGTTTAATCACTCATTCGGTGAAGGAATACTAAAGTCACTTTTAACGAGTGCCTTGAAAAATTGACATTGAATGTTTTCTAATCTGATAAAATATTTATCTTTGAAACGTAGAAAATAGAGGGGGAAAAAATCACTATCTACTAGTCTATTTCAAGAAATCTTTACAGTGTTAATTGCAATAGTAAAAAAACGCAAACGACGTTCTAAGTCGGGTCAATCGTGTCCCAAACCTACGAAACGTACACGTAACATAAACCAACGAATTAATTTATAATTTCGCCACTGACTACACCGTTGTACTTCGCGATAAACGAGAACTTTTATCTGTCAAAAGAACATCGTTTCTCCTTATCTCCAGCCAGTGCACGCTCGTCCATGTCTCGTCCGCGTCCTGTTTGAAGAAGCTAAACACGCGACATTTGTTATCTTCCGTTGCAATGATTCTGTCCGACTTTATATTTGGTCATTACGTCAACGACGTAAATAGATGTTAT